TGCACTTTGGCTCCCAGTGGCGTCACTTCAGCGCAGAGGACAAGGAGTGACTCCATCCATAAATAGCTTACCATGGTAAGCACTTCGCACAATAGCAACAAATGCACACTGCATATTTTGTCCACTTTTCATTTCCATGAACCACATTCACTGTCAAACCCACTGGACTACCGTCCTGTGATTATTTTCTCACTCCCAAACATGCGAAAAGCTTTCAGAGGAGCTATAGGAAATGGATGCACAGGCTGGTAATCATTAAGTGCTGCTAACAATTTAATCTGGTTTTATGTCGTGCCCAGGTCATGCCTTCCTCCCTAACCCTTCCTGGTTCCCTTCCTGGCTGGTTGAAATGCCCTTGACTTCAAAGCTCTCGACATCCGGTCCCTCTCCCACCCTGAGCTTGCGTAATGAGTGCCTCTGGTCAGCCCCTTCTCAAGAAGAATGAGCAAACTGCTTCCATTAATCTGGCGGCTTTAATCTGTTTTAATAACCTTCTTTTGGTCATTCCCACACAGACAAGATTATGGTTTTGTGCTAAAAGATAGAGGAAAACACTCAGTGCGAGTCTGACTCTTCTCTCGCTTTCAGCTCTGCTCTTACTCAGATTATATATATATCTTACAATAAATATAAAATATGAAAGATATTCTAAAATGCAACTGTAGCAATCTCAGGTTGTTGTACTACTAACATTGTTTGTATAGTTAATTCTGAACATTTAAGTTGTACATGAAACAACTGAAGAACTAAGGAAAAGTCAAGTGTGATGTATATAAAGTGATCAGAAAACCACATTGTGATTGGTGTGTATGGTCATGTGTATGGACATTCTGGTTTGACACTAAATATCTACCATGTTTAGCATGTTTAAGTAAATCTGGATGAAAGCATAACCTGGTGTCTCTCCACTGAATCTATCCGATATCTTAAACAGATCAGGCATCTCTCATTTTTTGTTGGATTAGTGGCAACATCTGACACACAAAAGAAAATGTAAACATAACCATGAAACTGTACTAACCCTAAATCCAAGTTCAAGCTTACCTTTCATTTACCCATGAAGGAAATTCACGTAGTCGAGGTTGCAAAAAAATACATGAGCCTACAAAATACACAAATATGTGTAGTCCTCCCGACACTGTTGTGCTGTTTGAGATTACAGAGCAGACCAAAGGCACTCATTAGAGGACGGCTTTGACATCTTGAATTTGAGTCTGTTATTTGTCTTCATGAAGCATTTATCACAAAGAGTAGTGATGAAAAAAAGTCAAATAGTCCAAAGCAGGATGTATGTTTTGTGCTTAGTGGTTCCCATTATTTACTGACACCAGTGAGTGGTTTGAGCTCAGAGTGTGATACTGAATGGATGCCATGGGCAATGAGAACAAACCATCAGGGAGTTTGGATTTGTAAATCTGTATGTATTAGAATTTAAATTAAGGTTCAAATACCTACTACACCTTCAAAGTCAACAGTTGCTTCAGTTATAAAAGAACAGTACTAGGAAGTCTAAAACAACTTCAATCAGAGTACAGAATGTGGTATTGTATGTACCCGACACTGTTTGATCAAATCATTGAGTGCACTTATTATTTCACTCTTACTTTGTATATTTCTGCAGGAAATTGAAACCCTCGGTGTTACATGTCTACAGCGTTTAGGTGGGCATCCCTGCATAACATCAGACCAATTCTTTGTAATATCCAACTGTGAACAAGTAAAAACTAAGTGCAAAACTAAGTGAGCAAAATGGCATGTATAGATGCACATGTTTTGACATTTTCTCTCCTTGTATAAGCAGAACTGCCCTTCCTTTGCTTAAGACTTTGAGAGTGGGGCTGTGGTAAAACCGCCGCATTGCCTCATGTGGCGTGAGTTATTGTTACACTTAACAGTTTGTGGCCACAAGTTTAGAAAGACAATGTGTTTTGCCGAGCCAACAGGTTTGCTCTTACAACGACAAACACTGAAAGGGTGAATACAGAACTATCCTCTTTCCCTTTTCTGAAGGCAGTGAAGGAACTCAACATGCCCTTCAGGTCATGCCCCTCTGTGCCATCTGCAGCTGCGGCTCATAATGGAGAAGATAGGGGAGGAGGGGGCCGGCCGAGGCCAATCACATGAGCAAAGAGACAGAAACAGGCAGCTCTCAGCCATAACATCTGGACACATTAGGGTGTGAAAAGTCAACAAGAAAATCATTTTCCTACAGCATCCAAAACAGCACTTTCTTGTTACCCTTCCAAGCAGGAAACTGTCAACATTGGGGAAAACTGTACAAACACAAAAGGCATTTTGTGTGTGCGTGTGGTGAAACTTCACCACGGTAATGTGACTCTGAGTTACAGCTGGAGGCCGCTGGAGTCAGGGCTTTCACCAGGAGTGTTAGAAATATTAAATTACAACATTAAATTCATAGTGTGCCACTAGACGTGAAACTTGACCTAAGACTCGACATTGATCCCTTTCAAAAATTCAGATTCTTGAATAAAGTATGTAAGAACAGAAAGGCTTCTCATCCAGGCAGCAAGGCATTCACCGAGGGAGAGAAAACATGTCTTGGTCATCTCTTTGTTGGGATTTGGCCAAACAGACCAAAAAGTCAGAATACAATTACATGAGGAAAAAAAGGCTATAGAGGTAGACTGAAAGATAACAACCAGAAACTACAGTGTGAAATGAGTCAATTCAGTACAAAAAACATCAGAGCTGCAGACTTTGTTTGGACATCTTTTCACATTTCTGCATTTGAGTGTGTGTTGCCTTGAAGGCAAAAAAATTTCTGGTTGTGTCAAAGTACTGTGTATTTGTATAGAGGCATACTGCTAATGCCTGCTGATTGACAGTCCAAACTTAAGTCCACAGCAGTTGACTCAGATAGTGCAGGTAGCCAGGACAATGACCCTGGGCTCAAACAAACTACACTTAATCTATGAACAGCAACGTAAAAAATCAAACTGACAATTTATCTGTCTTGGCGCCAAAATCAATATCAGGAAGCATTAAGCAATATAGACTTTCACACATCTCTCTATTGCATTTTACACATGAGGAACCATAAGATTGCATAATACAATGTGCATGGTGTCATTTGGGCCACTAGAAAATGTCAGGGTTTGAAATAGCTGTATATGTTCTCTTAAATTGGACATGAATGATTTTATGGGTTAAAGGATAATGTGAAGGTCGGTCAAAAAATGTTCCGCCATGTGTCAATAAAGACCGTTAAATGGCACAAAGATGAAGATTTTTCTTCTCCCTTCAATTCAGCCATGTGGCCCAGTGCTCCATTAAGCCAGTCATCCTTGGCCGTAGTTATTTAGTTACTTATCACTCACCACTGGGGCAAACAATGCTAGATGTGTTCAGTCCTTTCATGACTGGTATCGGTCCTGAAAACCAGCCTTTACCAATTTCCTGCCACTGAAAATGACTAAGAAACACAAACACTTGTTCTCTGTTAAGATGTTTATTGTATGGTTGAGTAGGGGAACACCTACTTTGCATAAACTACAAATATTTCAAATGAATGCAAACACAGTGTATGGTTTGCAAAATGCTTCCGTTTGTGTGAAGCGGACACAAACCTATGTATGCGCACATCTTCTATTTCATCAGCACACACCATGCTTTAGAACGGGGAGGGAGGGAGTGACGCAAAGAATGAGCCTCAAGGGTAGTCAGACTGGAAATACAAGTGGGTGTTGCCAAAATGTGTTGTGTGTCTGAGTATGTGTGCATATTTACAGCAAACTCCACCGAGAACATATCAATACAACAAAAAACATAACCCGTGTCACACATCTGTCATCTCCATTCTCCTGACCATGTGTTCAAAAATAAGAGATTCCGGTTTGAATGAACCTCATTTCACAATATTATTGTTGTAGGGAAGTGTGAATAAATCCTGTCAGCGTAAAATTTGTTTCCGATCTGACCCCAAAAATGACACGAGTATAGGTTTTCTTGCCTGACAAGTTGAAAAAGATATGTTGGCATGTAACCGTGGCTTCTCTGTGCGTGACTTTGCATAGTTGAATCTGACCAATCTCTTCCTCAGTGGCAATCAAGATATTGCTTAATTTATTGTGGGTGCACTACAAGAATGCCAAACATGCAGCGTAGACTTGCCCCTCGAACACGCTCTATAACAGCGCTCCGTTCCAGACAGCAACCGGGGAGGGACAGGAAACGAGCAAAACACTGATCTTCATGCACACCGCTGACTGAAATACCAGTTTCATGCCCGAACACACTCAGCTACTGCAAATACTGTGACTAAGGGGTCTAAAGCTCGCAGGAACACGCCACATGGCAATACGAGAATTCTAACAGGTACCAAAAACCTTCACACAATAAAATAAAAAGTGTTGATTTTGCCTCGATTTAACATTTACAAATGTTAGCTTTTCACTTTAATTACCACATCATTTCATACGTCCTATGTCACAACCACTGGCCTCTATGATTCCCGTTTGCAGGACCTCACAGGCCTTAGCCAGAGACAGAGCTGTGCATTGTAATAAGATAAGAAAGGACAGGTGGCCCAGTGATCAGGTGCCAGACTGCCTGCTTTAGAGCTGAGCTGAAGCCTACTGCGTGTCTACAAGGCTCTATTAGATTCTCTCCACATTAAGCACTAAAAAACAGAACCCAATTGAGAGAGAGGAGTCTCTTTAACCTCTCACTGGAGGATACCAGAGAAATGCTGAGCTATTACTGAGGACTAGTTCACAACCCAGAGCACCTGCTGTAGGACTACCAAATAGTCCTATTCTACTTAATATTTCACATTTCAGGACATGTGTGAAAAGTCTCATCAATAACTTTTAATTTCCATACGCCACACAATAAAGAACTTGAGGCTCAAACCTGTGACGTCAATAAAACAACTCTTTATTCAAATATATCTAAACCATTCGATAAAAGGTGCATCATAAATTCCCAAAGAGAGTGGAATTTCCCTTTCAACCGTATCGACAGGTCAGTGCGACTCTTACCTTGCAGCTGTTTGAACCTTCCTTCCAGGATGTTAGAGTATTGCACCTGATTAACGAACGCTGCTGGGGACAAGCAGGGCTCTCTGTCCCTGCGGTCCAGGTCCATGGCCTTGTGTTTTTCTGAATCTCTCACCTAATATTCCTCTCAGATACAGAGTGAATGGGAGTTTTCCCGCATAGCACACGAGAGGCAACCTTTCCCACAACAAATGTGTCAAATCCTTCAGAGAGCTTTCCAGAAGATAAAAGTTGTGTATATCCAAAAAAAACACCTCGATTTGTCCTCCTCTTCTTCTAGATCCCCCTCAGTGCTGTGCCTCAGAAAGGCACAACGCAAGCTTGAAAATGTTGCCGCCTGTTCTTCACCTCTTCTACTGTATGTCCCACCTTGTCCAATGAAAATACAGCAGTGCAACGGTGGAGGGTTTTTTCAAAAAGTCATTTCAAACAAAGCTGAAGTACAAAATGTTCTCTCGTTTCACCTCCTCTCTTGTGAAGAATTGCGCCACACTTTGTGGCCTCTGAGCAGAGTGAAAACTGTTGGTTGCGCTCCCTTGATGTTCAAGGCTGGCTATTCCTTCCCTCCAAACTCTGAACACACATTTGCTGGAGCGGAGCAGAGCAGCAACCAGCTGCGGTCGGATCGCTGTGTAAACAAAAGCCTGCTGTGCCGTCTGAAAATGGTGTCATTTGCATAAGGTGTGTTTGAGGGAGGAGCGCGAAGGAAGAATACCGTGGAAAGATGAGGGGAGGGAGGAGGTGTAGAGGTGGACTAAACCATTAAGAGTTCTATGCTCAGTGTAGCTCGAGGCAGATTACACAACTCCACCTTAATGCCAGGGAGCAGCCGGGGGGGGGGAGGGGGGCTGCCAAGAAGGTACATCACGAAAGTCCCCATTAGATCGCATCCTCTTATCCTGTCGTCTCGCTGTGTGTGGTTCTTATTTCTATCACTCTCCAAGACAAGATTTGATCTTCCTTTTCCTGTTCACGTGGTCAGGCCCTGTGATAAGGCGTTAAGGCAGGAAGGAAGTCGTTGAGAATGTATCGGCAACACAACGAGCTCTTTCCTGCCTGAACAAGATTGGAAATTATAAACGTGTGCGTCTGTTTGTCAGGCAGATGGTTAGGCCGGCGCGGGGGTGGAAGTGAGTCATTACCAGTCTAAAACAATTATAGAACTGCACAGGATTAACACATTTTATGTTTTACTAGATTAGGGACAATTATACAAATGATGTATGGTGCAACTTGTTAAGGAAAAAAAATGTTTCTTATTGGCTTTTTATGAATATTAAATCTGGTTGATTTTTTTTTTCCACAGCCAGATTAAAATGATTTAATGATTGTTTGCAAACACTGGAGGAAAATGGACTCGTATTTTGAGTAGTGATGGCGTTTGAAAGTTACAAAACAATTATTTTCCTCCATCACTGAACAAAGGATCATCAAATAGCGACAGTAATTACAGCCTTTTGGCACATATTTCAGATTCTCAAGCAGGTTTATGTGCACTTGACTTCCGTGGTTGTGCTCCAATAATAAAGATGTACATCGGTGTAATACACACCAAGAATACGGTCAGCTGAAACAATACATTAAAAGAAAATGATAAATATATTTTGAAAGTTGAATAACTTATTGACTGGAAGGTTTACTCTATCTAGCAGCTGCTATCGCCATAAAAAATGCGAAAGCTAAAGGTTACAGCTGTACTGAATGCCTGTGTGTGCAAGACTGTAAACACAGCGAGGACTAAGCTCACAACCTTTCTTAGGAGAGGATGGCCTTTGGTCTGGTCAAAGCACGGGGCCGTGGTTAAAAAGGTCTGGTTGCTTTTTTTTGATCTGTGCTTGTCCAGATGAGCGGGGAGCATCTGGATGAGTCTCATTAGAGGACCCAATGCTCCGGGCCTTCTGCGACCGGGTGTTTATGGAGGGGGACTGGGATAATGAGATCCGAGGAGAACACACTTCCTTGGGAGGAACAGAGGCTACGCAGTGGTCACATGCAGCGAGAAACGAAGAGCAGAGAGCTGGTAAACTGGTAAATGGCCATTTAAGATCCCAGTGGGCATATATCAACCATCACAATCCCAAATTAGCATGAGAGGTAGATGTGATGGCAGGTTTGTGTGTCTGGCACATGGGTCTTAACATATTATGTTTGGGCAGTTTCCTCCCTTTACGACTCATCCGTCATTTAGATACACTAATAAATAAACACACTGGATAGGATTAACAGTTATTTTCAGATTCTTGTGAAATATGAAAACAAACAGTGAGGAAGTCTGCTAAAGGGAGATGTGGGACAATTAATGATGGTCTGGTGTGGTGAACACAGATTAGAAAGAGAAAAAGATAGAAGCTGCGGAGGAGTAAGCACTACCAGAGGGGGGAAAGGAGAGATCTATTGCTGAGCATGCACATTTTATTCCATCCTACAGCACAACCCCTCGAGGGACCCGGGGGAGGGCGGAAGGCTGGACCATACTACAAACACTGGCAGTAAATATCTGATCTGAAGAGAGGGAATCCCACCCGGAGCAAGTAGGGTTGATTTCTCTTCAGAGTTCCATAATCACTTTTGCCTGATATCAGACAGGACTGTCAACTCGTTACACACCGTTTCAATCTTCAGTCTGACACTCTGATTGATTTCAATGGGGAAAAACACACTAGAGATCAATGTATCTGCCTGAATCTAACTTCATTCTAAGTGGACAGGTGATACTTTGTGTCGGTGTTTTAAGAGTGGAGCGGAAACAGAACTAGCCTGCGATGTTATTTAAAAAAATATATAATAAATAGATAGAGAGATAGATAGAGAGAGAAGACAAGCAGTATATGTGAAATTAATTTGTTAATAGTGTCCAATGTTTTTATTGCTCCTCGGTTCTGGCCGTAACAACTGCGTTAGTCCCACCCGTGGTGCTGATTGGCTAAGTGTTGGTCTCCCTCCTTGGCGCTCAAAGGGTCTGGACCCATGCCACAATCACTTGAGTTTTAGTCCAAATATCTACCAAATGCTGCACAGTGACTCGATATGATACTCTACTATTCATGCGTCTGTGTTGTTTATAAAGAATAACGGTAACTTAGTGTAAATGAAAGGCATATGGCTGCTTGGGGCAGCTCAGTGGGTAGAGCGGGCCATCCTGTAACAACGAGGACGGCGGTTCTATCCCCAGCTCTTACAGTAAAAGTGTCAAAGTGTCCTTGAGCGGGGTCCTGAACCCCGGGTTGCTCCCCTGCCGCTTTACAGCAGCCCACTGCTAGAATGGGCTACATGCAGAGGTCAGATTTCATGTATGTACTTAACCGGTGAAATGAAGTCTAAGTTTGTTTTGTTTGTTTGTTTTTTAAAGTTCAAAAAGCCTCTTGCTTTCCCACTGTGGATGCTTCCACAAGTAACATGTAACCGTTTGTAACCGTTTGAGTGTGAAGCTGGGCGTTTGCTTAAAACAAAAAGGCAAATTTGCAAGGCTTGTTTTGCTTCCCACACAGTACAGGAAGGTAGATATGTGTTATTTATGCAAATGACCATTATCTTAACACAGGAGTGGTTCTCTACTGTGAAACAAGTGGCAGCTGCTGCTCTCAAAGACTGGAAGGGTGTAAGAGGTGTGAATCAGGAAATGAGGCAATCATATTACATAGAGAAGTAGCAGACAGTTGAATTAAGAGAGGCTGTGAGAGAGGAAGAAAAGCATTTGACATTAGGGGATGAGTTGTAAAAGGCAGTGGCTATGCCTAGAGGGTATCGCTGCTACAGCATGATAAAGAATGTGCACATCAAGCCCACACTTGTGAAACGGAGATTGTGTCACAGGTATTCACACACATACACACACAGTCTACACTGGTCACACTTGTACAATAGTATTACAGCCTTCTGTTGCTTTCCATAATTACATGGCAGCGAGATACAGTATATCTTGAAATATAGTTCAATGCGTTTGCAACCAGGCAACACAAAGAGGGCAACACCTAGAGTCAGTTTCCTTTTGGCATGAGGAAATGAGTCAGGTTGTATTTGTAAGTGAAATGGGGCTTATCTTTGTAGAAGTGCTTTGACTACAGTGGTGCTCAAAACCATTAGAGCATGCGGTTTTTGAGTGCGTGTGTGCACGCCTGCCTGTTGCTCCCCTCTGCTGGGTTCTCCATGATACTGCAACTTGTTTTGACAATTATGAACAGATATTTTATCCTTAGAGTGTGAAACCAGGAAGGTACAGGGCACGCACGCGCACGCGCGCACGCGCACACACACACACACACACACACACGCACACGCACACGCACACACGCACACGCACACACGCACACGCACACACAGTGTACGACATCAACAACTAATAGAGCCAACAGGATTTTCACCTGGGTCACATTAGTTGGAGCCTCCAACAGGACAGGCTGGCAAACAGACATGCATTTGCACAAATTGGAAGGATGTCAAGCATCTCAAGGGTAGGAGAGTACGGTGGGGAATAAAGCTGCCTTCAGACCAACATTGTATAAACAAATGCAGCCTCCTCATTCATTTTAGTAAGACCACTGTTTGAGCACAGCACACAATGCAACAAATCTCTTTTTGCAGAGCGTTCCGGCACATAAAACACATCGTCATCCAGGAACACTGGACAGTCGGGTAATGGCTGTTTTTGAAAACGATGGTCACATTAAGGGACTTGAGAGAACTGACTAACATTGTCAACATTTTAGATGGTTCATTTATCTTTAGGTGTTGCTATATTGATGTTGGATTTTCACCACACCATCTACAGCAGCCCTGAAGACGAGCCTCGCCACCTCATTCCATCACTGCTTATTGCTCTGTGGTGAATTGACGATACAGCTGCCTGACTTTGTCCTCATTTTGGAGGTATTTCGGTCTTGCCCTATAAAGAGAGAATTGTGCCTTTTGGGACAGAAAAGAATGAAGTTTGTCCCTCAGTCTACAGAGCCTCATTAGATCGGTGCAAATTACCATTGGCCTGTGATTTGGTCTCTAAATGTCATCTGTTTCTCAAACTCCTGTTGCATATTAAAAAAAAGTTACTTTAAAAACAGTTACCATACGGTATATAATTAACTTAACCTCCAAACGTGTGGCATACCTGCGAGAGCCTTGATGCGCGAGCGCTCGAAGAGGCGTGCTGAACTGTTCTCATTATCCCAGTCAGTCTCTGCTGCCAGGTCCCAGCGGTTGTTGATGTCATTGTACTGCTGCTGGATCTCCAAGCTGTCAAAGTCTGTCGGCGAGATGGTGCTCATGGTGTCCACGCTGGAGGAAGACACATTCAACCTGCAATTCAGACACGGAGACACAAAAGCACCGAAACTCAGTATAGACAGAGAAGGGACGGAACATTGCGTGACACCAGAAGCTTCACAAGACTGACCCGTTAAAATGTTCTAGAGCTAATGTTTGGAAGATTCAGTTTGGAAACAGAGTGCGTTTCCGTTTCATCCTTGGCCAGATGATGCTCTGTAACATACAGCACCTACACTGTCATCACAGCTGCACTCAAGTTTTACATGCTCAAGTGATAGTCATATGCAAATAGAAGCCTAGACGGTACAACTGCCAGAGGGTATAAGGAGATAAAAACTTTGAAATAGGCCTATGCTCGGCAACTGTCAGGAAGTCATTCAGTTAGCCAACCAATAATATAATACAACTGCCTGCCAGGCTAACAAGTACTATTAACCACCTCAATATACACCGAGTGGATCTTGACTTGCACATGCAACCAAACAAACACACACACACACACACGGCTCGACAGCCCTACTAGTGGTCAAAGCCCCACAGAATAAAACACCTATTATTCTCAGTACCTGTC